CAAAGTGAGTGCACTAATGATGACTAAATTAGTTTGAGACCTGTGCTTTGTATGAGCCTAGCCAGGTACAGGTAGTGACGAATCAAGCAACTTTGGGCAAGAGCGATCCTGAACAAATGAAGTTTAAATGACAACAACTCATTTCCCTTTTGGAGTCACATGTCAAATGACAGAGTTAAGAACTACATTTAGTGAGACGCAGAGACTCATCTCTGTTCTTTAATATGCGTTTTGATGTATTGAATGAAAACAAGTGCTTGACAGGCTGTGTCAGTAATGGTGCTAAGACTGGACGTGGTCTAGAAGAGAGCCTGTAGCTGTTCTCACTTACTTCATTTCAGGGGAGGATGTTCTTTCCGTTGCTCTTCTCCCATTTGTTGAGCCGGTCAATATTTAATGTTTAAGATGATTGATTTTATATACAGGGGGAAAAAAAAAAGCATATCGGGATTTAAACTTTACTTTCTGCCTTTGCTAAATGATAAATGACTTTCTATCATTGCAATAAAGTCTATGTTCCCAGCAGATTCACTTGCTGACATTATGACTATTGCAGCATCTCTCGCAGTTGAGCACAGAAAAAAGTTCCAAGTAGCTGTGCGCTTTCGATAGTGCAGAAGAGGAACTAAACTCTTCAGCATGGGATCCACAGCCAACAAGGCGAACTAGCCATGATGCAGCGTGCAAGATGAGAGAAGACCTTGTGCATTCTTCTAGCCTTCTTTTACTTATCAGTGGCAGGGGATTGAAAGTCAGTCTCCTGGAAGAGTGGATTTCAGGTTTTGTGGCTTGATTTCCAGCACTCTAAGGAGATATAAGTAAGGCCATTTGTGTCACTACAATACCAGCTCATGTATTCAAGTGTTAGGGTTATCTCCACGTTGTCCTCTGGAGCCCTGCTGGTTTTACATGGAGGAAGACCATTTTGTGTTTCTGTAGAAGACTAATTACCAGAATAAAAAGAAGGGTTTTGCTGATTTTCTGTGAATATATTTGAAAAATTATTCAGTGAGGCTTCGGTGAAATGGTTTTGGTTTGTTGGAACCTCAAGAAATCCTCTTCTGAAATTGAACAGAAGCACTTTAAAGTCCTTAACATGCATGTTTTGAGTGACTATGTTATGGCAGCTTGCATAAATTATGACAAAGAAACTTTCTAAATTTATTTTAAAATAGTAGCAAACCACTCTTGATCTTGAGGAAAGCCTACAAGAACTCTTTCCAAAATGCTGCCAGTACTCCGCAGTGTTCTTGTGAGCTACTTAGTGAAATATTACTTATTCTTTTTATTAACTTTGAGTTTCTTCTGTTATTCCATCACATGCCCTCTTAGGACTTCTTGTCCCATCTATACGCTGTGTTTATTTACATGGACATATGATGGGAATAGGCATTCGAATATGCAAAGAAAACTAAAACTCACTGAGGATGGTTATTAGTATGTTTATAACCAGCGAGAGTGACATCTTATCCCAGGCAATTATTGGAATCCACTGAAATCCTGCCATGTTTACACTTCATGTTATTCGGGTGCCAGGCAACTCAATTAGCTTTGGCTAATAACATCAGAGCTGTTCATCAGTGTACAAGCAGTCATCTTCAGCTCTGCAAAGCGAAAGATTTCGTTCCACATTCACAAGCTACAGGAAAAGAAAATCATTATGGTTTCCTATTATCAGACAGATGCAGATTGTATTGTTGGTGTCCGGCAGTGGCTGGTTAGGAGCGGGCTGTCCGTATCTTCTTGGCATTTATTAAAAGTTTTGTCAGACTGCATTGTGCTATGGCCACATAATACTGATCCATTCTGGATTTCCAATTGCAAGTCACAGATATAACGAAGAAAGGAAAATATTCTGCAGCAGAGTAGGCACAGGCCCTAATGAAATGTGGCATATTAATTTCCGAGTTGTGAAATAATATAACCCCAGCAAATTTATATTTCTAATTTGAGGATCCTGAGGAAGAAAAGAAAGAGCCAGTTCTCAGAAATATCTGTTCACTTAGCACGTCGCTTCTGAGTTTTTCTCCATCTTCTTCTGGTCTGTGGAAGCAAAGTCATTCTTCATAAACTAGAATTCCTGAATTAGTTTATGCATTTTTACAGGACGTGTCCCGGAGATTTTTTATGTACTGGGCAAAGAGATGATAGACGTAGATAAGTGGATATGTTCTATCTGACAAAATGCCTTGAAGAAAAAATGTGAGTAATTCGTGGCTTTTTTTGTTCTTTAACTGATGGATGATGGTGATAAATAAGTTCAATTTAGTTTTCTTGAGAAACTCAAACACCTCAGATTACAAATCCATTTTAAACAGGATGCGTCTGAATCCTTATTTGCAGTACTGCCATTAAGCTCTCGGCTACCTCATGGGACATCAGGTTTATCCCAATACGTATGATACATGAGCCATAAGAAAGCAGATGGTTATGTCCCATTTCAGAGACAGAGACAGTGAAAACAAAGGATATTACTGTGAATAAACGTACCTTTTTCTCTCTGTGTCCCAAAGACGTGCAACATGCCAGAAGCCTGCAGCATTACGCTGGGCATAAGGTTTCAGTTTTCCACGTTCTGTAGATCAAAGCAGGGATGTACCAGAAAGAGCAGGCTGCTTTCATCTTTACAGGGTGAGCTGTACAATTGTCCTGGGCCTTTTCACATCCACTCAGTACAATTTCTTCTGATGTGAGGCCAAACCAAGAAGGCTTCTAAAGCACTGGGAAAAAATCTCTCTCTCGTTTAAAAAATAAAACACAACAGCATCACAAATCACATGAAAATAGAATTAGCTATTTTTCTTCTTGATTTTCCCCTTGGCTGAGCTGGTTATCACTGTACTGCGTAGCAGGTTTTTATCAGACAGTGTAATTTCCATACTTCTGATGTTTGCTATTCGTTATTAGTTTGCAGTGGATTATTACAATACAAACACAAGTACTCAACAAAAACAGCAACTTCATCCGAAGTATTACAGTTAAATAATGTTTCTCACTGACAAATCAAATTATTCAGATTACATATTAATAACCATTTTGACTTAATGCTTTCCCAGAACCAGTGTGAATCGAGACATAATTACATACAAGGCTTCTGGGCAGCTATAACTATATTCAGTTGCTAAGTGTAAACCCATAAAGGAAAAATATCTTTGCAGTTTGAGTTGACCATGAGACTGCAAACATATTCTGAAAGCGTCTCAGAATGATTCTTCTTTTCCTAGGTATTAGATGTGAATTGTAATCTATGCATTAAAAACAGCCTACTGTGTGTGGCAATGGAAGCAGAGTTATTCTGTTGTCTTTCTGAGGTTTGCTTGCCAGAAAAGAGCAGAGGAGAAAGAGTTCCTGTGATAGGTACAACATAAAGAAATACATACAAAATTCCCACTCAACACACCAGAAAAGATTGTTAATGTAGCAACTTGCATTGCTTAACACACTGGTGTTAAATGGCGCTGAAGTTATTCTTTCTGCCCAGAAACATGAAGTCTACAGGATTCAATTAAGATATTCAGATCAGTCTTCATTGCTTTGCAAAAGTTAATCGTTTTGCCCCCATTTTTCCCCATTTCAACTTCAATCTTACCTTCTTATTTGTTTCAAATTAAATCAGAAGAAAATGGAGATTTTAAAAAATGAACTCATTATTAAGCACCCATTTTTGACAGAGTAGCGGACGAACGGCATTCTTTCCATAACGCATTTCAAGTGGTATTGACAGTATTTCAGTATACAAAAAAACTTAGGAAATAGTACCTATCAAATGATTCTCAGTCAAAAATGAGGAAAGTTGGAAAGAGAATCACACTAAGAAAAGCTAATAAATACTAGATCACATACATCCAAAAATGTGTCAAGTTTATACTTTCACTTTTGCCAAGGCTTGATTTATAATGCAAGATCTGCCACTCAATCACACGATAAAGGTAAATGCATCTATATATAAAAATACATACCTACGCCTATCGATCTGTCTATCAGTAGATATGAGATCATAGCTTGCTTCACGGCTGTTATCAAAAGAAATCCGAGTTGGACCACAGTATACATTAATCATTCATCCTCAGGTACAGATCAGTATGTTGTGAAACACTTTCATCTTTTCTTTAGAAATAACGTTCAGATATCTGTCAGCCTACTGATGTCTGCAAAATCTCCTAAGATGCTAGTAAAAATTAGTCTTGGCCCATTTTGATTTCAGTGCGTGATGGACGATATAATAACATTATCCACTGACAACACGGTATGAAGTGTTTGCTTGTTAATTATGTATGGGAACACGACAGCTGTGAAAGCAGTGATAAAGCTCCATCAGCCCACGACTGATGTGCTGGAGCACATGGTGCTCCCAAGGATAGGCTACATCTTGATTTTTGTGTCTGTAACACCAATGAGGAGTCTGGAAGTTGTGAAACAATAAATGTGGGTTGAAGCTTGAAACTTTGCAATTCAAACCGTCTTTTTCCCCGCAGATACTGATCGAGAAAAATCTGTGAGCACTTAAAGAGCTCCATGTGTAATACTGACTGTTTACTGGTGCTGATAATGTCACGTGGAATCAGAGCTATTTGGCATGCCTGAAAGTCAAATCCATGGTACTGATTACCCTCAGACTCTTTAGCAGACCTGCACCCTCATAGCCTCTTTATATATATATATATATATATTTAATTTAACAGGCATTAGAGTTGAAGAAGCAGCAGACAGGAAACAGCAAAATAGAACTGTGGAATTCACAGTTTTGAAAAGTTGCGCCATGTATTTTCCCAGAATCAAGGCATTATATAGATCAAAATGAGAATGAAACCACTTCTATTCTCTCTTATCCTCCTGGACAGAAGGTTTCCTATCTTGACAGTTTTAGTGTGCCAACTCTCTCCTGGCATGACCCTCCCAGCACCTTGTACCCATTGCTTCAGATATAAGCCTCATTTCCAGACTTCTTTTTACACTTTCTACCTACCTCGGGAGGATGCTTTCCCCAGCACTGCCTTGCAATGAGAAGGTCGCTCAATTGCCGTGGAGCACCTTCTTGAAATCTCCAGCATCACAGCTCAGCCCAGCAGGAGCAAACATCTGTCAGGTTCCTCTTTGAAATTCTCCTATGCTGAGAAGCCGGAGAAGAAGCCTTTAGCTGGGAAAGCTGATCAATAGTACGGCTTTTCCCTTTTTCGCACTGCGACTTTTTAATCTGCTCTGCATAACACCGTGCAGCTCCTGGTCCTGGCAATGCCTAAGGACTCTAAATAATTCAGTAATACAAATATTAAGTATACACCGAATAAATTTAATGCAGCCAGAAAAAAAGGCACGGAAGTGGGCAGGTAGAAGGAAGGGAAGAGCATGTAAGATTTTCACATCTCTGGAAATCATTCCAAAATGTTATGCTTTAATAATCTGCTCTGTATGATACACTACGCATTAGAGTAGCAACTAATCCAGTATGGATGGGTTTCATGCAAATTCAGATTGAACCATTAAATATTTTTCTATTAAAAATTATTACTGTATATAACTGATAGTCGGCAAACTCTCTGATTTCTGAATCTTGTTACAACTACCCATAGGAAAGTACAAGCACTCATAGGAAAGTCCTCTCTTGGTAATAAGTATTGATTTCAAAGCTCCATTTACAAGAAACTGGATCCAAAACGTGCCAAAAGTGCCATATTTTCTAGAGATAATGGAGAATATTCTTCGACTACAATTATTTTTTTGCTGCTCTGTCGTTACTCCCTTTTATATGTGCCCCACGGCACCTATTGTCAAACAAATATGGCCATTCTCTTTCCTTGCTTAATTGTAAATTTGTAAATGAGATATAATTTATTTCTATTACTGATCGATCAAGGAGAATTTATGGTATGTATTCCCCTCACTATCGCCAAGCACACTTACCCTCGAAGGTAAAATAACTTGCAGTGAGTATAAAAATTGAATTAAATCAATATGTTTTTATTCTCCTCCAGCTCTTTTTCCACTGTTGTACAATTAAAATTCTATGAGGAATGTAATATTGAAGAAATAAATCTTACAGTGCTTAATCAGACTAGATTCAAATAAATAAATCATGAAGAAAACAGTGGAGCATCTTTCAGTGAATGCATAAAGGAAGTGTTGAATCTTCAACGAATGAACTATTCTGTAAAAATGTTTTTCTTATTTTAATGCATCAGATTATGAGCAGTTTCCCTTTACATCAGCCAGGTCGGTAATGAAGTATGCAAACCGGTGTTCTCACTACACCTTAAACGCAGTCAGTTGTGCGTATGGTTAAATTACTTCTATAGTCAATCCACGGAACTCTCAGCCTGCACCACTTCTACCTTGTCAGTATGGCTGTCAGTCATGTATTCACACAACGCAGCACAAAAGCACACCTCTAAAATCTAATCTAAGCACAGTTTACAGCTGCTGAAGATCTGGATCTGAATACAGCATTATTTTCTTTTCCCGTTTCACTGCGTGGGTGCAGGCTGTCACTATCTCCGTAGGCTGCTCAAGGAAGCTGAAGACCAGGAGGGGAAAGAAATACCTGATCTCATGTGTTCACTGAGCTCCCAGGAGCACTTGTGAGATGCATTCAGGGCACAGAGAGAAAGTAGTATTGATAGCAGTGACACAGAATGATAACTACGGGTTCCTTAGGCTCCCGTCCAGAAAAGCACTTAAGCCTCCTTCACCCTATACACACCTGAGTCGCATGAGTTCATTGGATTCTCCTTTGGGTTTGTACTGAAATCCTCTCTTCACTGAGACTGTAATCATTAGTTATTGCAGAGCAGATGAACGGTAAATATGAAAAGAGGAACCTGGATCAGAGTGACTTCTGCAGACTGATTACAGTATTCCTGTTTCTATCCTTCGGCAGGACTAGAAGACTGAGGAAACTATGGGTGTGCTATTGTGCTTCTACAATAAAAGTACTACGTGAGCGACACTGTAGAAGTCAAAAACAGCAAACACAGTATCTGCATTTAGGAAGAAGGATGAGTAAGGAATCGTAGAATCATTAAGGCTCAAGTCAGATCATCTAGTCCAACCATCAACCCACCACCATCACATTACTAAATCATGTCACTCAGTGTGACATTACACTTTTCTTGAACACCTGCAGGGACAGTGACTCCACCACCTCCCTGGGCAGCCTGTTTCAATGCTTCGCCACCCTTTCTGAGAAGAAATGTTTCTCAGTATCCAACCTGAACCTCCCCTGGCTAAGCCTAAAGCCATTACTTCTTGTTCTCTAGTTACCTGGGAGAAGAGGCCGATCCCTGCAGTTGTGTTTGTCCTTGGTCTATTAATCTGACTTTGATCCGTTAGTCTGAAAGAATAATTAAAAACATGAAGGTAAATGGAAAATAGAAGAAAGGGCAAAAGAATTGGATGGAAAGATATACAGTCAAATGAACTTAAATCTGTTTTTGTTACGTTAATTGAAGGAAATGCAGTAACTCGTCTGCATCTGGATTTCATGGAGCATTTTATGTGAACCTATATGATGGTTTAAAATAACATGCTGGAGAACATGGAAATTAGTTAAAAAATAAAAGGAATATCAAGAATAGCAAAAGATGAGGCATCAAAGGGAAAGTACCAGATGAGAGGAATGGTTGAAACTGAGTTTGCCAAAGATTGTTCTCACGATGACCTAGTTATAATGCGTATTATAATTTTATTAATCTGTATTTACTCTAACAGCACAAAATAAGAGTACATCTGCGATTTGCTGATGACACAAAGGTGGGAGGCAGTGTCAGTACTGATAACAATCTCTGTGATAAACTGACCGTGTAAAAATTACGCAGCCTTGAGGAATGAGATTACAGATTTGGGGAGTAAAGTAGGAGTCAGGCAGATGGTGATCAACAGTACATGCTTCTGCTGCAAAATGAGACTTTGTCAGTTAGAAATGACAAAGTGATAAAGATCTACGAATACTAGCTCGAGGAAGGTCTGCCGTATTAGCGGATTATAGGGTGACACTGAGCCTCAACTTCATCAGCCATGAAAATGTCACCTTTTAGGAGATAAAATGACAGAGAACATGGGTGATATGTCCCGCCATCTGCAACTCAGGTTGTTTAAAGGTGAGTTTACAAGGGATATAACAGAGATATTAAAACGATTTGAGGAATGAAAACTCATCTGAAAGTGGAAGACAGAAGGGCCTCCCTCTGCTCTCCCACAGGTTTAACATAGGAAAACAGGAAGGTATCAAAGAAGATACGATTATGGCCTGTAGAAACAGCTGACATAAACATTAAAAAAAAATAAAATAAATGCAAACACTAGTTAACATTAAAAAGAAAAATAACTGGCTCGTGATTTAACAAGTTAAAATTCTCTCTCTTACTTTTTTTAAACTGGAAATTAATAAAAATAAAAACACCTATCAAAGCAGAAGGACTCTTTAATGGGCTTACTGTTGGAGGAAAAATAAAACACCACTGTAAAGTACAAAAGAGACTGACAGAGTTGTTTATAAAAAGGATTATATCACATGGTTGTCTGGATTTAGGGATTTGACGAGTTTGCGTTCGCTCTGCGCATCTCAAGAAAGTGCTGTGAACTGAACATGCTACAATCCACCTGCTGATCAAATCACTGAGTTTGTCCCAAGACTGAAAAGCCGTGTTTTGTTTTGTTTTTTTTTTTAAAAAAAGAATCTCATCATGTGTGGAACATCCCAGAAAAGTGCAAAGAAGATTGCTGTTATCTGAAGAATGACGAGAGTTATTATTTGTTTAATTAGTGACAAATGAGTGAACTACAAAATATTAATTTATTTTCTAGGACAAACCAGTGGTTTTGTGTACAAAAGTTTTCGTTTGTTTCTTTTGGGTTTTTGTTTTTTAATGCAACAAAAGGAAAACACAGAGGATAGCTTTTCAGTTGCTTTGTTATAGGAGTTTGCTTATTTATGGCTAGGTTTAGAAGGCAGCGCTTCTAGTTCAGTACCGTATTTCAGGAATAAGCTTACAACACTACAACTTCGATCTCAGGAATCAAATACAATCATGACTTACATTACGCAGTTTGCAATTATTGGCATAAATATTAAATATCCATGTAAACATAAGTACTTCACACTGCACACAAGTAGGCACCATCAGCAGCTGAGATGCTTTGTTTCAATACTTATGGTCATATGCTTGAACTCTGCATTCCTATTTCTTCTGTTGCAGATTAACCTGATTTCTAGGAATTCTGATTATACACACAATGTGTCACTGCCCAGCAATTTACAGCTGAGAGGTGGCTGTATGGGCCATGATTTAAATGGTAGTTCTGTAGAAATGTCTTGCTTGTATCTCCATGGGTTTCATTCAACTAAACTGAATGAATAATTCTTACCAACAAGAATTTTTTAACAACTGTGAATAAAAGAGACTTTACAAGCCATAGAAAAATGTCAGTTATGGAGCATTATGGATTCATTTTTAGGGTTGATTCAAGGATACAATGCCAAATAGACTGTAAGACCAAACAGAACACACTATTCTAGTCCAGGTGATTACCTTCCATTATTAAGCGATAAAAAGTAGAATTGCTCTCATTTCTTACCTGCTGATTTACTGTGAATTCAGAGAAATTGCTTCACCTTTTCATTATTTTTCTTCTTTCTGGATAAAATGAAATTAAGGTATAATTTTCTATTGTCTAGCTGAGCCAATGAAAAGTAGTGAAATCACCTGAACATTTTCAACAGAGCGGTGTCAGATGTCCCATATTTTATTTATTTATTTTTCTAAGCATCAAAAAAATCTCTCTCAAAGCTGCTCTGTAATCAGAATGATTATGATTATGTTGTTCATGGAATGGAGCAACAGAGATTTAGCCTCTTTTTTTTCCCAATAAAGCAACTCATCTTCACATCATTCAATCTGACATCCTGAAATTGACTAGAATTTTGAGGGTTGAAATGTATCATTCCAGTACGAAACACTTTCATATTGCAAGTCATGCTATTAAAAATTCTGTTATTAAAAATAGTCGCAAAAAGGGGGGAAAAACAAATCAATTAAAAAAAATAAAAAATCAAGCACATACTTTCCACTTACCTTGCCAGTAGAAAATACATAAATAAATAAGTTTTAAACTAATAGTTTCTTAACAATTTTGAACAGTCCTAAAATGCCAAAACAGGCAACTTTAGGAATAAACAGAGCAGCAGCTTCAAAGCAGTAAAGCTATTGCAGATGGTCACAGAGCATGGAGTTGAGATGAACTCTGAAGTCCGTTAGCTGTGTTAGTGCACTTGGCCTCTTTTCCCCTTGTAAATCTGGTATTAGGATATATTCTATTACTTACTAAAGTTTATAGAAACCGGCAGAATGAAGGAGAATTCATCATGAAACCTTATATAACAGGCCTCAGACCTCTGGAAGTATCTCAGACCTCTGGAAATCTAAGACATATTTCTGAGGGTCTCATAATGCCTTCTGACACTTAGATTGATAAGTCTGTAAGCCAATAGTTTCAAATAAGGTAATCACCTGTTGATTTCAAATAAGACACCAAGTGCAAGCTTGCTTTTACTCACAGGTTTTCTGGCAAGTAGCAGCAGTATTCCCATGAACAAGCAGTTCTTGTAGAATCAGTATTTTCAGCCTTAATCTCACTTGCTTCTCGTTGCTCAACAGTATTCTTTCCATCCTCCATTACCTGCTGATATTCAGCACCTCGTTGGACAAATCCGGAATGCAAAATGAGCAGGGATTTCATTAGGATATTTGCTGGAGGATTTACTAATCAGAAAATCAAATCAAAGAAGAAGATAAATCAAAGAAAGGTCAACTATTCTGTTTGGGAAGGACTGCCATACATGGTAAATGGCGCTTTTTACATTAAAATGAACTGCAATCGCATGTAGTTGACTGCCAACATACCTGTTTGGAATAGTAGCCCTGTCCATGCTAAATCACAGAGGACAACTGCCAGCAATCCCAAATCTTTAATGTTTTTTTAATTTGTCTACTTTAACAGGTGACAGTAATCTCAGATCAATAAAAAGGGATGCTTTCTCCTAATCAGCAATCCTTTTTTCATAGACAAACAGCTCTTCAAACTTCCAACAGTAGCCAGGTGTCACATCAGCCATTGAGGCAGGTTTGACATGGGAAGCTGCTGGAAAAACATGAGAATTATGCACGAGTTAGTAAAGATTACTTAGCAGATTGGCATGTCCTCCTTTGCACTTGCTTTCTTTGTTTTGAACAGGCAGAGTGTAAAAAAAAGTGTTAAAAAAAAAAAAAAAAAAAAAAAAAAAAAGGAATAGTTCAGTTAAAAATTGGGGTTTTTATTTTATTTTTTATTTTTAAAATGGGGTCACTTCATTTAGCAATGGAAGTAAAAATCTATAAAGCACTAGTTGGAGTTGAACACCCACAGATTTGTTGATACCTGGCTACCTGTCTGCCTTTGTACCTTAGAAGTTAGCAAGAATTTTATTAATGCTCACCTTTAGAAGTTTGGGACTTTAAAAGACTTAATTAGCTGTGATTCCTATTTCCACACCTTTTCCAGCTGGAATTCTTATGAAGGTTACAACCAAAATAACCCTCTTTCTTAAAGCATACTAAATAGCATCTGACAAAAACAGAAGCTGATTGACTGATGTAATGGACACATTAATGAAGGATCATTAATTGCTCTCATTTCATATTAATTACTATAAGATATATAGTCAAATGATCTTTGATTACTAGGACATTTGAAGGAAATTCAAAACTTATTAACTCTTTCATATTGAAATTAATATACTTCTGAATCCAACCAACAGCTTTTACCATGATCATTTAAAGAAAATACATTTAGTTTGCTCTTCTTTGTCTAAAGAACTTACTTTCTTGAAGGACATGCACTTTCTTTTTCTACTTTCTTCCTTTTCTTTCTTTCTTTCAACTCCTCGTGAAAAGCTGATTTTTCTTCCTGTTTACTGTATCTCATTCTCCAAATACGAAAATGAAAAGCTTTTAAAATTTTCTATTTATAACTAACTTTGTTCTACTTTTTAAATTTTAGTTTAGTTTATCTCACTAATCCATAATGCTTTAATCTTTCTTTTTCTCCTTCCAGTACTCTTCTTCCTTCATCTACCAAAGCAGCCGCAACTATTGTAAACATAGGCTCTCTTTCAAATTTTGCCTTTTTTTCTGTCAGACCTTGTATTTGTTGCCAATTTATTTTTTTCCATTGTTTCCAGCTAGACAGGGTTACAGATCAACACAGTTGTTAACTTGGTAGAAATCTGAAAGTGAATTAGTAACTATTGCTCTTCAGTGGTATAAAGCCTGTTGGTTTTACTGGTCTCGTTAAGTCTTAAATCTTTTTGTTTCCCTCTCTTCGCTGCCCTGTCTTGACCAGCTATTTGGATCCATTAGTCTCGAATTCATCTTCGCCTTCACTATTCTGTATGAAATATCTCTGTGGCTCACACAGACATCTGTCATATTTGTAGCATTTCATATCTTGGACACTCTCTTAATACCTGATGGCAAGGAGTTCAGTAGCACTAAATACAAGAAGAAAAATCCAGTTCCATGCTTCTTAATGGAAGTGGTTTTAAATCAGACCTGGTGCCATGGTCTTGAAAGCCTTGGAAGGAACACGCTCTTAGTGCAGGAGCAATATTATGCTTTCAGTAATGCAGTCTTTGACACATACGAGTTGTGGGAGAGCAGAATGTGTCCCGTGGCTGCTGAGGTAACGTCTTATTTTACTGTCAAACACAGTTTGTTCTTTATGTGACACCTGGTATCTAAACCTCCATTAAAAAACTCAGTCTGCATTTATTTTTCTGCTATGTATTACATAGCAATAAAGGAAAGTTATGTTGCTGCAATATATCGAAATGTAACACCTGACACACCCAATCGATTAAAAAAATGCAACCAAACAATAATAACAAACTCAGAACATCTCTCCACAAATGTATAATACCTCAGATTTTTGGAAGTGAAGTGATTAAAAAAATTTCCCTCGTATCCAGATGGGATCTTTCATCAGATATTTAGCATCCATTTTCACTGATTTAGTAAAGTAAAAGGTAACTTACTCTTCTAGTAGAAATTAAATTTAACAGTTGTTCTTTTATTGCTCTAGGTGGAGAATGTCTCTCCAGAAAGTTTTAAGACTTTCAACAAATAATCCCAGTATGCAGCTCAAATAAACAAAGCATACTCTTTCCTGAAAGGAACTGCAAGTGCACCAGTCACTTCCGTTGGCACTATCATATTTGCACTGAGAAGTCTGTTCCAGCCCAAGGTTATTGCCAAGCACGTTATGGAGCAAGCACAGAAGGAAGTCAGAAGAGAGGGATTATAGTTCTATTGTTAGCAAATAGCATTTCCTGGTGCCATTAAAAATAATTTATCTATCATTTTTTGTTCTCAGCAATTCCCAGATGAGATGAACATCTCATCTTTATGAGGTGCTCACTAGGATTACTGCCTTACAATCATGCCCAAGGCCATTTCAATACCACATAAAGAGCAATGTAACACAAGATATTCAACTCAGAACTGCAGGTAATGAGCACTTAATAAATCCACTTCTTTTTATAGTGAAAAGGTCTGATGAAAGAAATTACATTTCTTAAAACTAGACAACGTCCCTGCAGTTTGGCTGAGCAGGACGAATGATGGTCAAACACCATTTTAGCCCTTTAATGGTGGGCCGGTCCTGGAGGCTGCTGTAAAATACAAGTCCTGAGATGCACAGGATCAGTGTCACTGCTGTTAGGCCCATCAGAAAACTCAGTGGAGAAGAAGGAAATAGCACCAAAGAGCCTTTCAAAATTCAAGAATCAGGCCGATCTAAAAATTGTTTTGTAGAGAACTATAAATCCAGACACTTTTTTATTATCTCAGTGTTTTTGAGCTTTACTGGAACAGCCAGATCTAATCTATGCACTCAAGCATACATGACAAATAGGTTAAATTATCTGCAATTATTCAGTTGATCAATCAAAAATTTTGAAAAAAAAAAAAAAAAAAAAACAAATCCCCAGAGGGTAAAAACATGGCAAGAGCACTGGGAAAGCTATTTGGTAATTTAAGATGCACAAGTAAATTTACATCTTCTTTTTTTTGACAGTTCCACAGATGGTAAAATCTGATTGCTAAAAATTATTGCAGAGCAGACTAACTGGAATGAAAAGTGAGATTTTTGACTGATCTGCTGATTGCTTAAAAGAGAAGGAAATGCTGAGCGCCATGATAAAACTCAGCTCTGCTGGCCATTTTTGTATAGAGTTCTCCCAGATGGCAATACAGGTATTCTAGTTCAATAGCTGGAAAATGTACGTGGTAACTATCACGTCATTTTTTTCTAAAACAGATTTTTAGGGATTTAACTATCATTTTAAAAAGCTGTGTCTGAAGATTCTTCACTATGATTTCCAAATGAAGCATTTCATCAAAACTACAACATCTGTTCTAACTTACCCAGATCTGTAGGTCAACTCCTATACTCCATCTCCTATTCTTCTGTATTCATTGCAGGATAAATTCACGCATCTTTCTAGTACAGACATTCAAACAGTTTCTCTGCCATACGGGAATGAAAATAGGACATTAAAAATGCCATCTTCAGATAATTAGATAATAAAACGGCTAATTCATAACAAAATACAGTAGTAAGATTGATACTAGTTTGTGTTCATCCTTAGAGCCAGAAGCAATTTCTACTGGTTCCTCCAAATGACCACAATTTAAAACATCTTTGGTGCTGTTTTAAAGCTGTATCAGTCCATAGATGGGTTTTGGATAGATTTCTTAACAAGCAAAAATGCATCTTTGATCTTACAGGTGTGCACATCTTAAGAGCTGCTCAGATGGCATCTGAGAACAAGGCTGGCCTCTTCGATATGCTGCTGCTTCGACCCATTAGAAATGCCAACACAAACTCAGTTTAAGTGAGTTTTTTGTTAGTAAACATCAAAAAAGACATTTGTGGAGAAAGCCATGCAATAACTGTCACTGTTGTTAATGCAGTTCCCATCCAGCTCTCAGTGTTTTTATGACCGTATTCTGCTCCAGGAATGAAAAAGAGTGGGTCCATAAAAGAGTCAAAGCCAGGTCAGAAAGGCTGAAAAGTGGAACAGTAAAGCAAGTAAAGAGCTGTCAGTAACAAGACCCTTCAGCAAACCACATCAATGCAATATGATGCCTGCACCATCTACAATCTACATGCAGTATATACACCGTATATACATCACATATAGAATATACACCATATTCCGTATACATGTAGTGGGATTCCTTGCTTTGAACTTGACACTCTGTACTAAGCTAAGCTCTACAGTGAGCTCAGTGAAGTTTTACTCTTGACCTCTCTGAGGAAGGAGTTGGTTATTTCTCTGGATTGATAATGCCAGCCAAAAGAGGCGATTCCAGTCAAAACAGGGGATTCTCTCACCATACTTAATGCTGGTGCAGTCTCACCTTGAATACTGTACGCATTTTGGAATCCACAACATAAAAAGGTTGAGAATATCCCTGAAAGCATCCAAAGGAGGGCAACAAAGCTAGTCGAAGGGCTGGAAGGTGTGTCAGTTGCCTCGCATTAAATAAAATTTGAATGGAAAAAAAAAAAAATAGAATGTGTGAGCATTTAAGCAATGTTTACACTTTCAGATGTTAGAGTAGTGCTGGAAAATAGAACCTTGAATATGTTTCAGAGCTTATTCTCATAGCACAAAGCAGAAGGGATTTTAGTCTACATTTG